GAGGCATAACAATAATATAAACCAAAAGTTATCTTATCCGAAATCATTATAATTCCAAATTAATATTCCAGTCCAATATTGTGACAGACGAGCACTTTGTACTTCCAGTGAATAATAATTTAAATAAAAAATTCCACCCAAATGAAATATAAAACAGCAATAAAAATAATTCTGCCTCAGATGTAAAATGCAAGAATGAACAATTTTTAAACTAAAAAAGATTATATAAAGACACAAGACACAAAAGTAGAGCCATGATGTAGGTCCAAAGTTTATTTCTAGAAAATAGTTGTAAACAGATAAACTATGTTACGAAAATTAAAAAAAGAACATAGAAAACGTCAGGAACAACATGAAGATTTGCCTATATTGATCCTAATATTAAATCCACACGCATAGGAAAATATTAACTGTGTATTATCTGTATAACAAAATAGAGTTACTGATCAGGCACCAATTTAACTCGATTTTGGACAAGGTCAAATCCAAAATAAAAAATATGTAACATGAAAACAAGGAAAAAACCCACAAACTATATATATATATATATATATATATATATATATATATATATATATATATATATATATATAAAATTAATATTTATCTACCAGTATGCTTTATACCTCATAAGAATGCCTTGTGAATGTGGCTTAGATCACCAAAGATGGCAGTACTTAAATTGCCTTTAATATATATTATATACAGAAAACTGCATACTTAATGTATTCTCTGCCTGCAAAACGACGGATAGGAACATAGCTATTCTCCTGCTTGCTATCCCTACTAGGTGGCCATCGCACACTAATTTGGGGATTAAAAAATTAGTCGTTGCGTTTGAACCTTAAACAACAACTGACGATATCCAGTCCAGTATGCAAACACGGGTGTTACGTTTTACCTTTTTCGTGAATCTCACACTGCAGGATAATATGCCTGAGCGAGGAAAAGGGAGGAAAGTCCTGCCAGAGACCAGAAATATCAACTGGTACTTCCTGAAATGCCTGTAAAAGAATGAATTCTGCCCCGTTTTGCCCAAGTCTGCTGGTACTTCACTACAAATGATGTGTAAGCTAAATATATAATTAGAGAAATCCAATAAGCTGCAGATTGTATTTACTATTCATATTCGAGTTTGCAGTTTGTGTACACAGCGTACATCAAATCTCCAAAATTTGTATAAATCCATGAGTAAATGTTCATTTTAATTTAGCATCACATATCAAAATTTTTCAAAGTATAGTTAAATTTTAAATGTGGCATTAAATAGATCAAATTTGTAATATCAAACAGTTAGTATAAAAGGGGTTTCGATAGGCCGTAAAGAAAGCCTATTCTGGCAATCAATTTTAATCAGTCTGCCGCCGGATACGTTCTACCTATCCAGCTGAGTTCTCTGGCAGTCTGATCCAATCCATGTCGTGTTATTTGTTGCCAGGAAACCGAGAGGATATTCTGGAAAGATATTTACTCCCAGATTGTTGCACTGCCTTCTTTTCGCCTGGCCAGGAAATTTTTGGGGTATTCCAGCTGGTCCTCTCTCCTTGAAGTCTGTCCCCTCTTTAAAGAAAGTCTGTCTCACCTAGTTGTATTTGGGTGGTTTCCCCTGGTCTGCACGCCCTTGTATTGCTACACTCGTAGACTGTCGCATGGTGCATTAGGGTACTTATCGATGATTCCCCCATTGCTCGCTAGTCCTGTCATTCGCACTCCTCTTTAATGGTGTGTGTGTGTGGGGGGGGTAAGTTGACCAGCGTCTGTGTCGCACTGCCGCGTATATAAGTTAAGCTCCATACTTTCTTGTATCAATTCCAGACTATAAAGAAGATTACAACAAAAAAAAATTGCAATCAACTGAGAGAAATAACGAAGTATACAACAGAAGTGGATAAATTGCAATTAAGCATTCGACCCATTTTATGATTGAAGCCAGCTAACTATAAAGAAGATATCTCAACTGCGGAAATATTGCAATCAACTGAGAACTATAATGAAGACACCAACAGAAGTGGAATAATTGCAATCTACACCATACAACATACACTCTTGAAAATAGCTGACTACTAAGAAGATACCGGATCTAAATAAACGAATTGCAATCAACAGAGATAAATAACGAAGAATTCAACAGAAGTGGATAAATTGAAATTGAGTCTAGCCTCTAGATGGGCATGGATTTGTGGGTGGCCCTCTTGGGGCCCTTGGCCGGCTGCTGGTTTGGGTGGCTTTCTGTCCTGTCGTGGTTTTGTAAGTCAAGTCAAGGTCTTAAGGTCTAGCTCGAAGCGAAAAGATCCAGCTCGGGATCAAGTCCCCTTACGCGGGTCCGGGCTGATGGCCAACCGTGTAGGTGGGTATTGGAGGCCCACCCTTCGGGTGGGTCCTCTGGTCTCTTACAAAAGTAAGAGACTCCAAAAGTCGTCAAGCAAACGTCCATGCACATACGACTATAATTGCTATTGTCATTGTCATTTCTTGCATCAAGTAGTTGACTGTCTTTAGCTGCACGTGCCAGCAAGGTCCTGTCACAAGTTGCCCCTCCCGTCTTTTTACCACTGCAGGAGTTCCGATGTTTATGCCTATACGGATGGTGTCTGACTGAAATGGGATGGAATGAATGTTATAGATTTCGATTCACTGGACTAAAAATATATACACACGGAAGTCAAAGAAGTAACATAATTATTTAGAATCTTAATGTCATATGAATTGAGCAACTGTATGAAACGCCAGATCATGCAGTTTAAGATTACATTAAAATTAAATTAATATTGTATATATCTACGGTGTGTGAATATTGTTTTGGTACTACGTAAAGAAAAAAAATCACTGGATTAATTTTACCTCCCAGCCCCCTCCCCCCAAAACAAAGAGAACAATCTCTATTTTGGTTCAGTTGACAGAGGACCGAAGGAAATTATATCCGAATTTGCTTACACACGTCCTAGAAAGACTACAATGTAGGACATATTGTGCTATTCGTGTTTGTCAGTTATTCCTTGGAAACCCTCTAGCTAGACAAACCACTATACCATACGGTCTTCTTATTCTAATGGGTCAACAAAAATTATTTTTTCATGTTTCAGTGATATGCATAAATATTCTATAAAAGATGAAAGTTAATATTTTTACAAATCCCTTTTGCTTAATTATTATATATTTTTAAAGTTGATAACGTTCTTTGTTGCTCATAACATAACAATTTGTAATCTTATAGTACCATGCACATAAAGCTATAAATAACAGTGTACTCCGGGTTAAGAATCCGTTTGTTGTATACGAAGGTCACGTCTATTTATCTATAATTGTGGGTTATCTGCACGTAAGCACAATACTGATTATATAGTGTATCTTAACATCTAAATTCTAAACATCTAACGTTAAACAAATGCAAAAGAAAGTTCTCAAAGATAAAAGATAGCTACTTTAGAAATCATGGACGCACGTGCGATTATTAAACTGATTCTTCGCAACAGGCGCTTCCTAGTGCACGAGAGAGAGAGAGAGAGAGAGAGAGAGAGAGAGAGAGAGAGAGAGAGAGAGAGAGAGAGAGAGAGAGAGAGAGAGAGAGAGAGAGAGAGAGAGAGAGACTCATCTAGTGGAGGCATCAGACTAATGGACTTCCGCATGTGTCGGTTCTTTCCAAAGTTTGTTCAATGTCTATATCAATCACTTATCTATAACACAGTCGTGCAAGTTCATGACATTACTCTCTGGACCCAAAGTCGCTCGTTTGCTGAGCTTGAATGGTTATTAAACAAGGACCTGGAGGATATGACGGACTTCTTCAAAAAAAATGGCGCCTACAGCCAAGCGTAAAAAGACAGTCGCCAGCGTTTTCCACCTTAACAATGCAAATGTGAACAGTGAGCTTTTTGTATCCTCGAAAACGGGCACCAAATAAAACACGAACCGATACCAACTTACATTGGTGTAACTCTGGATAAATCACTGACATTCTACAATCACGTGAATAAAACAGCAGCAAAACTTAGCACTCGAAACAGCCTACTCTGCAAACTGGTTGGCTCAACCTGGGGCGCTAGTGCTCAGACACGCAAGAAATCAGCACTGGCCCTCTGTTATTCGACAGCCGAGTATTGCACTCCTGTTTGGGCTTGATCATCCAATACTAAGCTAATTGATTTCCAGATCAACGCAACAATGCGCATAATCTCTGGAACACTGCGTCCTACTCCTTTACCATGGCTGCCAGTACTTAGCAATATTCCTCCTCCACATCTGCAACCACAAAAAAAAAAAATGTCGGCGAAGGTCTATGTCAGTGAAAAACGTTCACTGTTTCCAATATGGTTTGGTACGTTTCCTGAGTATATGACATCTATTTAGGCATGGAGCGTTGAGTGGTTTTCAATAGATGCTGTAAACCGCTACCTCGTAGCAGAGCCATCTGTCTGACCTCCTGGCTTCAATCTTCCACGTCATCTGTGGACCACACTGAACCGCATTAGGACAGGACAAAGTCGTTGTGGAGTCAACCTTGTCCGATGGGGCCAGGACACTAACTCTGGAGTCAACCTTGTCCGATGGGGCCAGGACACTAACTCTGGAGTCAACTTTGTCCGATGGGACAAGGACACTAACTTTGGAGTCAACCTTGTCCGATAGGGCCAGGACACAAACTCCTCCTATTGCTGTGGAGCTCTTAAGACCATGTTACACATTGTAAACAACTGTCCACTGACCAAGTTCCCCGGTGGACTGCAGGCACTGCATGTTGTTGATGATTGACGCTGTTAATTGGCTGAGCACAGCACACGATAATATAATATAGGCGCACACAGTAAAAATGCACGAAAATACAATCGTGTTTTGAATATAAATTGTTATTTCCTTTTTTAAAAAAATTACGAATAAATGACAAAAATAATTTTTCGTTGCAATACTGATGTAGATATGATGTTGCGTGTATTATATTAATATAGAAAGAGTACATGCATGTTTTTATTAAACATGTCTTTAGAATACAAGCCACAAAATATGACCTCTCCGGTGGCCTAGTGGTTAGAGCGTCAACCTCTGATACAGTAGGTAGCGGGTTCGAACCCCAGCCGAGTCATACCCAAGGCTTCTAAAATGGAATTAACAGCTGCATAGTTTGGCGCTCAACATTAAGAGGTTAGTGTTAGGACTGGTCGGCCTGGTATCAGGATAATGTGACTGGGTGGGACATGACGCTACATGTCTGCAGCATGATGCCCCATGGATAGACATTACTGCAGACATTGTAGCGATATAACTGAAAAAATTGTTAAAGCTACGTTAAAAATCCAAATCACCCGCACATATATTAAGCCAATGTTTAGAATAAAAGTCATACAAGAATGAAAAGACACCGTGACTTATGTTTTTATCACCGCACTTTACTTTTAGATCTTAAAGCTTTATTACAGTCAGGCATCGTTTAAAGTGATATAATTTCAACAAAATTATGAAATATACATTTATTCCATTAACCTGCACACAAAATATTTTTAACAAAGGCAACTGGTGCAAAAATGTCCATTAGAAATCTTTAATGTTTAGACTTTAGACTTTCGGGCGTAGAGGATTGAAGTAACACTTAATATTATAAAAAGAGTTAACACTATTCCATACTTCAAATGCAGCCAAGAGACGATAATTACTATTGATTCTGGTGAAAAGGAAAACTACTTCATTAAACATTTGTCAACAAAACCCAGGCCCCGACGTCAGCACATCACATGCTTGAGTAATATATACTCTTTCAAAATGTATACGTGGGCTAATATCGTAAGCAAACAATTATAGCCAATTCCCAAATGAAGCACACAAATTTATGCCTGTGGTAAATATTTGCAATTCAATCATCAAAACATTCTTAATCCCAAAGGGAACAGAGCACTGGTTGGAATGACAGATGAATCGAAAAACTAGACTTCATTTTCATAAGACATTTCCGTACGGTATAATATTCAGATCCAATTTTCTATCTGTGGCGTGAAATTGCAAACATATAGTTGCATACAGCTGTGTTAAAAAAATTCCTTCCGAGTTGCAACATTCAGAAGTTGACCTTAAAATTGAATTAACAAGTTTGCTTTCAAAAGCAAGATATAGCGAATTTTCATCATAAATGTATGTGGTTGGCAAATTATGAAAATGTCATGTTTAAAAAAATTAAGCATTACATCTACTTTAAGAATTAAGCTTGGTTTTTCACAGGATTCCTGAAGTCATGAAAATCGATCACACTGCACGAACGGCTGAAACGAAGCATCGTAGTGAACGCCATTCATGCGGCGCTTAATCAATTTCAAACTTCATGACTTGATTAACCCTATAAATTGTCAAGTTTAGTTATTTTAATTATAAATAGTTATAGAAAAAAATGAGTCTCTAAAAACAAATAACAAACTATACTGTAACCATCTTAACAAATATTGTAAAAGCACAAAATACAGAGTTCTTCGTTAATCAGGCATCGATCTTAAATCCATTCCATGTTCCAACATCAATAGGCAAATAAGCGACGATTGTGTCAAATGTACACAGTGATTAAGCAAATTTTACATTCTGCCAGTAATGGTTGTTCGTTCTCTAATGTCAAATAATGTGCCATTGAATTGTGTACATTTTAGGACCGGCGCGGTGGCCTAGTGGTTAGACTTATAAAAATGGTACTAACAGCTGCCTCGCTTGACACTCAGCATTAAGAGGTTAGTGTTAGGACTGGTCGGCCTGGTGTCAGGATAATGTGACTGGGTGGGACATCATACTACATGTATGCGAAATGATACACCAGTGCTAGATATCACTGTAAAGTGCCACATTGCAGACATCTTAGCGATATGACTGAAAAATTGTTAAAGTTACGTTAAAAATCTAAATTAGAGCGTCCACCTCGGATGCGGGAGGTCGTGGGTTCGATCCCCGGTCGAGTCATACCAAAGACTTACAAAAATGGTACTAAAAGCTGCTTCGCTTGACGCTCAGCATTAAGAGGTTAGTGTTAGGATTTGCCGGCCTGGTGTCAGGATAATGTGACTGGGTGGGACATCAAGCTACATGTCTGCGGCATGATGCCCCAGTGCTAGACATCACTATAAACTGCCACACTGCATACATCGTAGCAATATGACTGAAAAATTGTTAAAGCTACGTTAAAAATCTAAATCACACACACATACACATACATATAATGGTTCTTTGAATAGAGTTACAATGTACTATAGGCAGATGTGCATTGACCGAGTGAATGAACTCCTTGCATCCCTGAGTGTGTCCGCTACAAAATATAGTTCTGTGCTCTTTGTGGTTATTCACATTCACCTTTACATATTGATCAGGTTGTTGTTTTCCTTTTTAGTTTCTATTTTTCTTCACATTGATTAAATCAATATGACATACTTATGCAATAAACATGAAAGATAATTTTGATTATAAAAGTAGAGCACTACAAAAATACTTGGTTAGCTATGCCATTCACATGAACTCTGCCATTCACTTACCGGTGCATGGAAATTGGTGTGGAATATAAACTAATTGAAATGACGAACCAACAACAAGATGTAATTAAAATATTTTAATATATTTACGATTGATCAAAGTCATTATTGTGTTTTAGTAACAGTACCACCAACAACTCTGTCTCTGTTTCTGTCTCTGTTTTTCTCTGTCTCTGTCTGTCTCTCTGTCTCTGTCTGTCTCTCTCTTACACAAACACACACACATGCACACACATACACATACATACACATCCTCTGGTCGGTTTGACTCAACTTTTACCATCATTTATAAGTTCAGAGACATCATTGGATGACACAAACGAAAATCCTCTGCGCTTGTCATTTGATAGATATTATCCCTTATCTTGCTGCGATGGTCGAGAGAGATCGAGAGAGATCGAGAGAGAGAGAGAGAGAGAGAGAGAGAGAGAGAGAGAGAGAGAGAGAGAGAGAGAGAGAGAGAGAGAGAGAGAGAGAGAGAGAGAGAGAGAGAGAGAGAGAGAGAGAGAGATTTTAGAACATTATGATATGTTTAAAAACCATCAACAAAACATTACATACATCACAGTATGTGTACTAAGTAACTGAGGAATTTACTGTATAATATCAAATTGGTTTGCAACTTTGTATTACTGATAAACACTGAAACACTGTAGATAAATCCCAAGGAAAATGCACACGTTACGACAAACCACAGTCATATAGATTACTTGGTGTAATTTATATTTCATGGTTATAATCCAGCCAAAATTCCTTTTCTCTCTCACTCCACATTTCTACGTAGTTTGTCCATTATGCATGATAGGGATTGGAGGAACAAAGCAGAAAGGATTCTGGTGAGAATGTGTATCATACTAAATTCATTTAGAAAACGGGAATTGTAAATACTTTTCATCGTTATTTTTATACGTAACGAATTATTAATGTGCGAAAATTCGTTATTGATCTAGAATCAACTGCAGATGGTCGCTAGAATGTTTATGTATGCGTATTATTGCGCCATATGAGGATCATCATATAACAGTAGTACTGGTATATCAAATTACTTTTAACTATAATTTCACGTATAACTCAATATGCGTAAATCATAAAAAGTATAGCAGTATCAAGACTATTAATAAAATAAGGAAAAATGTGTCTCACGAATCGAAATGCACAATTCATCTGGTATTTCTTTTAGAAACATACTGATCTGTAATATCTACATAAAACTCAGGAAAGAAACAGCAAAGGATACATTTATTTCGTCGAAAAAGCTCATAAATTCATATGTCCTTCTTAAATGTTTTGAATCGAGATACATATCTCACCGCCTCATGACTATAGATTTATCAAACTGCACTAATATCCAGAGCAATATTTTGGTTCAGGAAGTTTTCTCCCTGCAAACATTATTTGAGAAAGGAAATATAGAAGGGTTGGGAATAAATGCGGTCAGTTGTCAGTTAATTTATTAGCAAAATAACTAAACCAGTCTGTACAACTTCTTTCAATTTTAGCTAAAACGTTTATAAAATGTACAAACGCCCGATAAGTCTTACTGTCAACATTTCAAATGCAATATTAATGATAGAGAACAGGTGGCACTTTGCTGAGATTTTACAACTCAACAACAAGTATTCTAAGATAATTAAGCGGTAAAGCTTAAAAAAAAAACGTCCAGGTACAATTCGATTAATGGTATAATCCCATTAACATATATATTATGTTAAATACTAGAAATTTCATTTGAGAGTGTACGTACCTTTGTGTTCCTACTTTACATTGCGCAGTGATTAATCTGGTTGCGCCTATTTTAGTACCAGATGTAGTAATATGGATCACAATTAAATGCTACTCGCTTTTTGATCGATGAAAGTGTTCGATTAAGACTATAAGTAAAATACTGGCTGTATCTCATAAAGAGTTGATAGAAGTGAAAAAATTGTTTCTTAAACATAAAGATTTAGCTTTTGGAAAAGAAAATTTTAGGTATCACCACATCGCCTTCAAGGAAAGTGCTAGTTTTTGTTTTCTTGTTTGTTTTTGTTTATAACAGTTGCCATAAGAATAACTTTCTCTATTATATATCAGTTTCATAAATATGTCTGTTTCAAAATTATAAATACCATTATATTTTCTACATGGTTGTGATAATTGTACTATAAAGAAGCATTTCGTTCTTTTTCTTTAACAAATAAACCAACCAATGAAAAATTTCCGTTTAAGTCACAAACACGTTGCTCGAAAGCAGTTTAGGAAGCAGTCGTGGATCATGTAAGAATACATTCCAATGCATATGTCTGACTAGGTGGGAGCTGCTGTGGTTCATTTATTAGCGTGGTAGACAAAGATAGTGCTGGTTCGAATCCTACCATCGGATCATCTTGGATCATCTACCGTGATGTGTCCTTTAGCAAGATAATTTACTCCAATTAACACCGCACTAAATAAGATATTTCTTGCTGAGCAAATAGTCTGGAAACAATGCAAACGTCTTTTGCTGGATTATTAATTTGCATATTGCCAATTAATTCTATGTCAGACTTCCTTCCTGAAACGATATTATTTCGCCATCGATGAAGTTAAATAGGAATATATGTTTCCTGAA